GATCACAAGTTCAAGGCCAGTCTCACTCAGCAACTTAGCAGGCCACAGGCAACTTAGCAAGACCTTGTTTTGAAATCAAATATATAAAGGGTTGGGGATGTAGCTCAGTAGTGATGTGTCCCTGAGTTCAATCCCCGGTACCAACCTAAATAAATAAATAAATTACAGCATTATACTTTCACATTTCCCAGGCTCCAAAACCCTGAACCAAAATAAACCTCTCTTCTTTATAAATTTATAGGCTCCATTATTCTACTATAACAATGGAAAACCAAACTCAACAGCATTTTAAAGAGATTGTTCATTATGATGAAGTGAGAGTTACCCTAAGGATACAAGAATGGTCAAAATATGCAAATCTATAAATATGATACTCCACATTAACACAATGAAGCAAAAAACCTATATGACTATCTCAATAGATTTTGAAAAATATTTGACAAACTTCAATCCTTTCCTGATAAAATCCTCTCAACAAATAAGGTAGTGAAGTATTGTACCTCAACATAGTAAAGACCATAGACAACAAAAACCATAGCAAAATTCATATGCAACAGTGAAAAATTGAAAGCTTTTCCTCTAAAATCAGAAACAAGGCAAGGATGCCCCCTCTTGCCCCTTCTATTCCACAGAGTACCAAAAGTAACTCCCAGACAGAACAATAAGGAAGGGAAAAAAAATAAAAGGCATCCAAATTGGAAAAGAAGTAAAATTGTTATTGTTCACAATCAATGTGACCATAGAAGTAAAACTGTCATTGTTCACAGTCAATATGACCATAGGTACATATAAAATCCTAAAAACTGATGAAAATTCCAAAAAGCTTCAGAATATAAAATTTAACATACAAAATCAGTGGTATTTCTTTTTGGGGGGTGAGCAAGATAATGGTAAACTAACCCAGGGGATGACTTTTCTATACACTCTATACATCAACATCTAAAAAAGAAATAAAGAAAACATCCCTGAGGCTGGGGATGTACCTCAGTGATAAGAGCATTTGTCTAGCATGCAAGAGGTCCTGGGTTCAATCCTAAGGGAGGGAGGGAGGAAGAAAAGAATTCCACATATAATAACTACAAAAAAATAAAATGCTTCAGAATAAATTTTTTGTGGGGATTGGTGGAAAAAACTTCCCTTTTGTTCAGATAGAATCCTCCTGACCTGTAGCTGCTTCAGAATAAATTTTGATTTTGTTTTCCGAGATAGGGTCTTACCTCAAATTCCTGGACTCAGGCAATCCTCCTGCCTCAGGTTATAGCTAGGACTATAAGCACACACCACCATACCCACTTTCAGGAATAAATGTAATGAACCAAGAAGGTTGCTGTGGTTTGAATGCATGTTTTTCCCTCTGAAACTCAAGTGGAAGCTTGATTTTGCAGCAGTATTGGATGGTGGGCATTGGGTCATGGAAGTAGAGGTCTCGTGAATGGATTAATACCTTTCTTGGATGAATGAGTTCTCACTCTCACAGAATCACATTAGTTCCTGCAAGAACAGGCTGTTATTAAGCAAGTCCACCTCTGTATTTTGTCTTTCACCGGCACCTGCTTGTCCTTCTACTTTCCAACATGAGTTGAAGGAGCATGAGGCCCTCACCAGAAGCTAAATAGATGCCAGCATTATACTTTCACACTTCCCAGGCTCCAAAACCCTGAACCAAAATAAACCTCTCTTCTTTACAAATTTCCAGGCTCCATTATTCTATTATAACAATGGAAAATAGATTATGGCAGAGGTAAAAAGACCTAAATGCTGAAAACTATAAAATGCTGATGAAAAAAAAATTGAACAAGACACAAATAAATGTAAAGATATCATGTGTTCACAGATTTAAAAAACTGGTATTGGACTGGGGTTGTGGCTCAGCAGTAGAGCGCTTGCCTAGCATGTGCAAGGCCCTGGGTTCAATCCTCAGCACCACATAAAAATAAATAAATAAATAAATAAATAAATAAAGGCATTATGTACAATTAAAAGAAATATTTTTTAAAAAAAAGAAAAACTGGTATTTTAAAAATGTCCATACTTCTCAATCTATAGATTCAATGTGATTTCTATCAAAATTCCAAAGACATTTTTTATAAAAATAGAAAGCAATGCTAAAATTCTGAAGAGCCAATCAAATATTATGCAAACAAAGCTGAAGGATCACACTACCTGGCTTAAAAATATACTACAAAGCTACTGTAATTAACATAGTATTGACATAAAAATAGATATATGTATAAATGTATCTGAATATACAGCCTAGAGATAAATCCACACCATTTACAGTCAACTGATTTTTGACAAAGATGCCAAGAACACAATAGGGAAAGTACAGTCTCTTCAATAAATGATGTTAGAAAAAGAGGATATTCACATACAGAAGAATGAAAATGGATTTCTACCATATACAAATATCAATTTAAATGGATTAAAGACTTAAATGCAAGACCTAAAACTGGAAGACTACTAGAAGAACACAGGGGGAAGTTCCATAACATTAGTCTGGAGTATGAGTTTTTGGATATGAACTCAAAAGCACAGGCAATAAAAGCAAAAAATAAGTCAGGCATAGTAGTGCACACCTGTAATCCCAGTGGCTTGGGAGGCTGAGGCAGGAGGATTACAAGTTCAAAGTCAGCCTCAGCAACTAAGTGAGGGCCTGATTAACTTAGCAAGAGCCTGTCTCAAAATAAAAAATAAGGACTAGGGATGTTGCTCAGTGGTTAAGAGCACCTAAGTTCAATCCCTGTTACCACTTTCACCCCCCAAAAAAATAGACTAATGGAACTTTATCAAACTAAAAACCTATTGCACAACTAAGGAAACCATCTACAGAGTGAAAAGACAATCTATGGAAGAAAATATATGTATCTGATGTAAGAAAATATTTGTATCTGAGGAGTTAATATCCAAAATACATAAGGAACTCAACTCCATAAAAAAAAAACCCAATTAGAAAATGGGCAAAGTATGTGAATAGATACTTCTTTTAAAAAAGATGTATACATGGCCAACAGATAGGTTTTTAAAAGTTCAACTTCACTAAATCAGAGAAATACATATTAAAACCACAATAAAATATCCCCTCACATCTGTTAAAACAGCTATTATTAAGTCATAGCGTAGGGCTAGGGGTACAGCTCAATGGTAAAGTACCTGCTTAGCAAGCACCAGGACCTGAGTTTGATCTTTAGCACAAAAGAAAAAAAAAAAAAGATAAATGTTTGAATGTTGGAGAGGATGTAGAGAAAAAGAAACCCTATACACTGTTGGTGGAAATGTAAACTGGTACAGATACTATAGAAAGCAGTATGAAGGTTCCTCAAACTATTTAAAAAATGAACTACCAGGGCTGGGACTTGCCTCATATGTGTGAGGCACTAGGTTCAATCCTCAGCACCACATAAAAATAAGTAAAATAAAGGCATGCTGTCCATCTACAACTACAAAAGGAAGGAAGGAAGGAAGAAAGGAAGGGAGGGAGGGAGGGAGGGAGGGAGGGAGGGAGGGGAGGGAGGAGGAAGATCCAGCAATCTCACTACTGGGTATATATCCAAAGAAAAATTAAATCAGTGAGTCAGATATTTGCACTCCTGTGTTCATCGCAGAATTATTCACAATAGCCATGATTACTGAATCAGCCTAAGTGTCCATCAACCAATTAATGAATAAAATACAATTGCAAAGCCATTCAGCCTTTAAAAAGAAAGAAATGTTGTCATTTGCAACAACATGAGCAAATCTGAAAGACATGTTTAGTGAAATAACTAGGCATCAAAAAATAAATGCCACATAATCTCAATCACATGAAGAATCTAAAAAAGTTGAACTCAGAATGATGTTAACAAAAGCTGGCGGGGGAAGGGTTGGGAGATATTGGTCAAAGAACACAACTTCTCGTGGGAATAAGTTCAAGATATCTATTGTATACATGATGATTATAGTTAATAACAATGTGTCATATTCTTCAAAATCACTGATTTTTTAAAGTGTTCTCACCCAAAAAAATGGTGTGAAGTAATGCATATGCTAATTATATATATTATATTATATATATTATTCCATAATATATACATATTTCAAAACATGCTATATACAATAAACATGTACTTTTTTTTTTATATACTGGGGATTAGACCCAGGGGCGCTCAACCACTGAGCCACAACCCCAGCCCTTTTTTATATTTTATTTACAGACAGGGTCTTGCTTAGTTGCTTAGCCCCTTAGTTGCTAAGGCTGGCTTTGAACTCACAATCTTCCTGCCTCAATCTCCAGAGCCAATGAGATTACAGGTGTGGGCCACCGTGCCCAGCCTATGTACAATTTTTGTCAAGCAAATTGTGAATATGAAAAAAAGAAACTTATAAGCTAGAACCTAAAGTATGGAAGAGAAATTTAAATGGGAAAAATCTTACAAAAAATAAATATACTTAAGTATAGCCTATAAAGACTATAAAACTCAGAAAGCAACAATCATACACCTTGTCCCTAACTTCATAAACACTAAAAAACGGAGTTATCAAGGGAGAAGGCAAGGTGTAAAGCTAGGTGTAAAAAAGATTCACTCTCTCTAAACAGCAGATGGAAAAAGAGGGTGATCAAAGAAATTAAATAAGTAGGAAGATGGGAAAGGCACTCAAGCCCAGAATAAACAAGCACAAATAAACAGAGCTTCAGATAGCCTCATCAGCAAATGAGTAGTTAGTCTTCTTTAATAAAGTAACATGAGTAATTCAGGTCAGAATGAAGTCATTAACCTTATCCAAAAATAACTTCCACCTGCAGAGAATAGCTACTGACTAAAAGAGATTGAACCTCTTTATAGACACAGGCAACCTGGAAGCAAGAGCTCTCTGGATAGCAACTAGAAAACTAGGACACTTATACAATGTGATACAAAAATCAGGCCTATTACAACTCTTTAACAATCAGACGTCTAACTTATGCCCTCCAACAAATAGTTCAAAGCAATCCAGGAACTGTTATTTGGCATATGGAAGCCTACCTGATGGTGGTGAGGAGAGGAATCTGGGAAGAAATACAGCTGCTGTCAAAGACTCTGCAAAATAACATGAACCAGATAGATCTTTTTATTATTTCTGGAAATTTTCCTGAAATAGCATCAGTGTATTTAACAAGACATTCAATGGTTTGTTGTATTAACTATAATATTTTTAAAATATATAGGATCATATTCTAACCTCAGCAGATATATTGAACTAAAAGAATATTATAAAATTATAAGGAATATTATAAAATCCAGTATTTATGGATTTATGTGGAGATATTTAAACTAGTACTCCAAACTTAAAATGAACATTCTAAAGTGATAATCTGGGCTCAAACTATATTTGGATTCACAATGAGACATACACAGGGATGTGATTTGAAAATGCTAATTCCCTTAAAGTACACACATGTATCAAGACCAATTTCCCTACAAAACTCATCAGTTGAGGGCCTGATATTATCATTTCCAGGTGCTGAAGGGCCAGCACCCAAAGAGTCCAGAAGCCTCCACTAAGTACTGTGCCAGAAAGAAACCAAACACATCACTACCATCTCCCCTTTTCATTTTGCTTAACTATTACAATGTACTTACTCCACACTAGAGCTTCTTGCCTAGATTACTAGAAAGCCAAATCATTAATGGTTAATGTAACAAAAGTAAACTTGTCAGTGTAAATGAACAAGAATGGGACAATAGGTAGCTCAAGACCAAAGAAACTGCATTGTGGAAATAGGACACAGGGGTGCCATTCCCTAGTGACTCTCTTACTTCATCTCTTGGTAATGCTCACATACTGTGCTAGAAACTAACTGGGCACCTGTCACACATTGCAGACCATGCTTTTCCCAATGGGTGCCATTCCATAAACTTCCAACCAGAAATAAAGTGCCATATCTGAGCCTGACTCATGTCAGATATTCAACAGATATTTGTTGAATGACTTTTCTACTTTGGATCAACTGATTTTAAAATCAATTTTTAGGAAGTAGCTTTAGAAATACCAAAGCCAAAACCCTAGAACCATATCCACAAGTTTGTATTTTTGCTGTGTTTTCTGCCTGCCCATGGTCTGGGACTATACAATTTCCATTCAACAATTCACCTGTAATGTAGAACCTAGTCCACAAAGTAAGAGCTTCTCCCTGTGCTAAAATTATCTCCTTTCCAAGAGGACACACAACCTGGTTTCATTGGAATTTAGGGGCTGCTTCAGTGTTGAAAAGAAAGCCTGACCATCAATTCCCCAGGGTAGCTATCGACCTTTTCCAATCTCAAGGAAATCTCTAGACCCCAAAACTGCTGTGAAACCATTAAGTATATGCTTTCTGTGAACCTCAATATGGCTACAAAATAGTAACCCTAGCGATTAAATAGGAACAACAGTAAATTAAGTGTCTCCTTTACAATAGCTACAGACTCTTTAGATTCCTTAAAACCATATTTCTGCCTTCTGAATTTACCTCAGCTTACAATCAGCACATGTGGTCACTACTCTGTTACCAGTAACAGGTGAAAAATAGGCAGAAGCAATGCTCTTCGTGTGTTCAGTCAAAGAAATCAAAGGCTGGCTTCCCCTGAGTTTCAGGTGCCTGACGTCATAAATATGAATATCCCTGTAATGAGAGGAAGAATTATTAGTGTTGTCAGAGTACATGTAATGAGCCTCTAGAACAGGGTTAAACATAAGATAGAAACTCAAATACTTGCTACATGGAATAACATTTAAGACATAATCCCTACTTCGGTTTTAATTTTAAAGTTGATACAGATGAAAAGTAAAATATTAGAAAAATTCAAAAATTAGAGCAGATACCTATAACCTGCATGTACAAAATTGGTTTTTCAATCTCTCCAAGAAAAAAGGCAACACAGATTTTTCAGTCTCTCCAAGAAAAAAGCCAAGTTACAGATCACATACAATTTTATTTTATTTTTGTTTGTTTTAGTGCCAGAGATTGACCTCAGGGACACTTAACCACTGAGCCACATCCCCAGCCCTTTTTTGGATCTTATTTAGAGACAGGGTCTCCCAGAGCTGCTTAGCGCCTCACTAAGTTGCTGAGGCTGGCTTTGAATTCACGATTCTCCTGCCTCAGCCTCCTGGGATTACAGGCATATGCCATCATGCCCAGGTTATAAAAATTTTCTTCTAGTAAAACTAAAATAAATGCATATGCATATGGTGCCAATGAAAACAAAAATGTACATATCTTTCAATATTTTCACTATTTATTAAATCCAAATGAATTTCTCATTTAAAAAAAAAATCTCGCTCAAGAAAAGCCCCCATTAGTGAAGAAAGGAAAATTATTTGGCCTTTGTGTATCACAAAAGTCAGATGTGTTTGACAACCAAACTAAACCATGTATTCATGGCATGAAAAGGACTAAATCTGGGCTGGGGTTGTGGCTCAACGGCAGAGCACTCGTCTTAGCATGTGCAAGGCCCTGGATTCGATCCTCAGAGCCCATAGAAATAAATAAATAAAGGCATTATATCCAATTGCAGCTAAAAAATAAATATTAATAAAAAAGGACTAAATCATTACATTTTCAGAAGAACATACCTCAACCCTGCAGTCATGAAATACTGTCTGTGCACTGGGTGGACATGAACAGTTCTTATTTTTCTCAAAGAAGAACGAATTAGTTTCTCAAAAGAAGTTCCAGGTGTCCGTCTATCCACCAGTGACATATTTCCATCCCAGTGTCCCACTAGTAAAGTGGAAGCATCTTCTGTCAAGAAGTCAAAGGAGGAAAAGCCACTTCTTTCATTTCTATATACCTAAAGATATAAATAACAATCATTTCTACAACACTCTTAAAATCAATGCACAAATTCTTAGTAAAAGATTATAAGACAGTTTACTCAAATAACCTCATTTATCTACACAGGAAGCTCAGGACAAAATGGAAACAAAGGTAGTGATCACCTCAGAGGCTCACCTACAATCAAATGGTTCATCTACCCATATCCTAAATCTCTTAAACCCAATAAATCTTGGTTCCTGATCTACCCTGTGAAATTTACTGGAAAATGACTAAATATGAATTCTATCCAGCTGAAATTAAATCTCAATATAACAAGTAACTTTGCCAACAAAGTCCAAGATATGTGGTAGCATATTCATCAGATTAAAATTCTTGACAGTTAATCAGACTATGGATCGAAAGTTCTAGATCAGCTGCAGCAACTTGGCGAGACCCTGACTCATAATAAAAATAAAATAAAGAAGCGCTGGGGATGTAGCTTGGTGGTAAAATGTCCCTAGGTTCAATCCCTAATACAAAACATAAATGAATGAATGAGTGATGAAACCTACATCTAAAATTATCCTAAAGTTCATGAAGATTCAAATCCAAATTTTAAAAGTTCAAATTGTAAGAATTCTCTTACTGAGGATATCTGGCATTAAACAAATCTGAAAATTCATCTTAAATAATATTATTAAATGGATATTTAAATAGTAGACCAAAATATGAACAATGAGATCCAAATATTTTGTTCAGGCCTTGGGAGTTTCAGACCTGTCACACCAGAAGTCAAATAGATTAGAAAATCTCCAAGCAGTAGTCTGATAATCTAGGCTGTGTCTGAGGATGGATTCATGAGTATCATTCAACTTAAATTTAAGCAGACTTAAACTTTAATCTGACTAGCACAGTTTAAACCAGCTCAGGAAAAAGACTTACCAAGAGGTAATTACAAATAAACTTGGCCCAAGGTATTCTGAATAAAAACCCCTTGGGTCTCTGCTTCCTGCACAGTATAGCCAATAGCAATTTTCAATTCTAACCTCACCAGATCAGAACAGCTGGGCTAAATGCTTCATCATCATCATCATATTAGAACACACAAGACCTGTTAAATCTGGGCTGAGGATGTGGCTCAGTGTTAGAACACCTGACTAGCATGCCCTGGATTCAATCCCCAGCACCAAAAAAAAAAAAAAAAAGAGTCATGTTAAATCTTAGCTAGAAGGTGAGGAAAAATCAAATTTTTAGGCCAGACCAGGTGGCACACTTCTCTAAACCCAGCTAACTAAGAAGCTGAGGCAGGAAGATTCCAAGTACGAGGACAGCTTGAGCAATTTAGCAAGACCCTGTCTCAAAATTTTAAAAGGGACTGGGGATATAGTTTAGTGGTAGAGCACTCCATGTTCAATCCCCAGCATCACAAAAATAAATTAAAAAATACATTTTATAATTTCTGTATTATATTACATACCAGAAATTTTAGGTATGCATAATATATTCCATTATGTGGGTAATTTTTCTATTGTCCTTTTTGTCAGGTATAAGACTCATTCCTACAAAATTCATGTCTGAAGGGCAGGAAGGATAAACAAAAGAAAAATATTCCAGTGTTTTCCCTCAAAATTAATAAGTTATTTTACTTAAAATTCTTTCTGCAAATAATAACAGTGAATATGAATAGTCAGGTGTGGTAGTATATACTTGTAGTCCCAGCTACTCAGGAGGCTAAGGCAGGAGGATTGTATGAGCCCAGAAGTCTGGGGCCAGCTTGGGCAACAGAGTATAATCCTGACTCTTAAAAAATAAAAAAATAAAAATTTAAAAATAAAAGCAAACACTATGTGCCAGTCTTGGTCCTAAATACTTTATCTGCATTCACTCCTTTAATCCTTCTGACAACCCTATAAAGTAAACACTATGACTATACCATTCCACAACTATGGAAATTGAGACACAAATAAGATCACACAACTAGTAATAGATGGTCTGAGAATTGAACTTAGTCCTTAGGCTGTACTACTTTTCAGTCTGATATAAAAATCACTCATGTGGCCGGGCACAATGGTACATGCCAACGACTAAGGAGACTGAGACAGGAGGATCACAATTTCAAAGCCAGCCTCGGCAAGTGCAAAGCAACTCAGTGAGACTGTCTCTAAATGAAATACAAAATAGAGCTGAGGATATGGCTCAGTGGTCGAGTGCCTATGAGTTGAATCCCCAGTACAAAAAAAAAAAAAAAAAAAAAAGCACTCATATAGCATTTCATGGAGAATCCAGAATATCATTGGATGTCAACATATAAACAAATTAACATTTACCTCTTCAAAAATAGCTCTGGAAAAATCCCCACATCGTAACGTGCCATCATAGCTCAATGACAGTAGGTGGGCTGGATTGGCAGGTGAGAAGTAAAGACAGCTAACAGGTTGACTATGGGGATAAAAAACATATGCTCCATCTTCTTTTCTTTGCTGGGTCTGGAAGAGGTGGAATTTGAAAAAAAGATTAAAAACTAGTGAAAAGTACATATTTACTATGTTATTATGTAATTAAAGTATTTACATCTGGATTATATTGTCTTTTTTAAGTCTATAACAACAACCACTCTCCCATTCAAATAGTCAGAATTAGGAAATGACATTAAATTATTTTCTCTTATCATTTTCTGATAGTTTTAATTTTCTTACAATTTTCTTCTTATAATTTTCAAATCAACAATACCAAATCTCATTAAGTTTAAGTGTCCAGCTTTTCACAAATAGCAAACTAGTTTCTTTACAATAGTGGGGGCGTCGTGGGGCGGGGGGACGACACAGACAAATAGCACGAGGATCACTGCTTCTGCCAGGCATGGTCGCATGAACCTGTAGCCTTAACACTCAGGAGGCTTAAGCAAGAGGATCACTTGAGCCCAGGAGTTAAGAAACCAGTCTGGGCAAGATTGTTTCAAAAATTAACTTTTTTTTTTAACTACCTTTTTTTAATTAATTTTTAAATTTATATATGACAGCAAAATGCATTAAAATTTCTATTACACATAAAAAGCACAATTTTTCATATCTGGTTGTATACAAAGTATATTCACACCAATTCGTGTTTTCATACATGTACTTTGGACATCATATTCCACCATCACTTTTAACCCCATGCCCCCTCCCACCCCTTTGCCCTATCTAAAGTTCATCTATTCCTCCCATGCTCCCCCTCCCTACCCATGAATCAGATGGGTCAAATGGTGGTTCCATTCTCAATTTTCCAAGAAATCTCCATACTGCTTTCTATATGGGCTGCACCAGTTTGCAGTCCCACCAGCAGTGTATGAGCATACCTTTTTCCTCACATACTCACCAGAACATCCAAGAATTATGGGACAGCATCAAAAGTTAATTTTTAAGCATCTCAAAAAGCTAAGACAGGAGGGTTATAAGTTCAAAGTGACCCTCAGCAAAAAGCGATGTGCTAAGCAACTCAGTGAGACCCTCTAAACAAAATGCAAAATAGGGCTGGAGATGTGGCTCAGTGGTTGAGTGCCCAAGTTCAATACCTGGTATCCACGCCCCCCCAAAAAATGTTTTTAAATCATACTTTTATGACTTCACAAGATGAAATCCCCAGGAAATTAGAAATATACTCTTTATTTCACATGACATTAATTCATTACTACAGTATCAATATCATTAACACTTTGCTTTCTAAGTAGGCTTATAATATTAACATTATTCTCAGTATAATTTTTTTTTAAACATGGGGTCTCATTATGTTGCCCAGGCTGGCCTCCAACTTTTCATAAGGTATTTGGTTCTGGCAGAAAAATTATAGTTTTAAAAGTATTTTGTATACTAAATGCACAATGAAAATTCACACATTTGAATTTCCATATTAATATTACTACATCTAAGGATTAGCCTTTATTCAATTGGATTACCAATTCCTAAGAAGTCATTTTTCAGATTTGGGTTCCTATACCATATAGCATATTATAAACCAGAGCAATGATTATTTCCAAATCTGGCTTGGTCTGCTCTGAAATAGTCAATTTTGGTTTTTACTTTTATTTTTTAGAAAATATTATTTTTAATATTTATTTTTAGGTGTAGTTGGACATAATACCTTTATTTTATTTATTTATTTTTATGTGGTGCTGAGGATCAAACCTAGGTCCTTGCACATGCTAGGCGAGTGCTCTACCTCTGAGCCACAACCCCAGCCCTTGATTTTTATTTTAAATTTTAAAATTAAGAAAAAAAATCTTTTTTTTTTTAACAAGGAAAAGAGAAAGAAAAGGAAAAAAATTACAATCACACATTCTCCTATGAAAAGTTAACAACTGTTGATATCTTGGCATAATGTTTATAACATTTATTTTCTAGAAAAACAGAACTATCTATTGTTATAAAGAACTAAAATGGGCTAGGCATGGTGGCACCCATTTGTAACCCCAGCACCTTGGGAGGCTGAGACAAGAAATTCACAGGTTCAAAGCCAGCCTCAGCAACTTAGCAAGGCTATAAGCAACCTAGTGAGACCATATCTCAAAATGAAACAAAAAAAATGATTGGGTATGGAGCTCAGCAGTTAAAGCACCCTGGTTTAATCTCCAATACAAAAAAAAAAAAAAAAAGGAAAGAAAGAAAATACAGAAATGTACAAAGACGAAAATTCAAAAAAAAAATCACAACAAATCCAAAATATCAAGATTTAAAAAAAAATATTGAGGGAGGATTACAAATATCTTTATACAGAGGTTGGGGATTTGAGGTATCCCCCAAAAGCTCATGTGTGCAGCAATGCAAGAATATTTAGAGGTAAAAGGACTGGGTAATCAGAGCCTTGACCTAATAAGTGTGTGACAGGGATTAACCTAGTGGTGATGGTAAACAGGGAATGTGTGGCTAGAGTGTTGGGTCCTTGGGGTAAACCTTAGGGGGTTCAAATTTTATCCCTGGAAAGTAGAGTCTCTCTCCACTTCCTGGTGCCATGTCCCCAGCTGCTTTCCTCTGCTATAGCCTTCTGCTATGATGTTTTTGCCTCATCTTGGGCCCAGAAGAATGGAGTAGACCACATGCAGACTGAAACCTCTAAAACCTTGAATCTCAAAATCCTCTAAAATTATTCTTGTCAAGTCTTTTGGTCACACAGCAAAATAGTTAACTAAAACACCTGGCATGAGTTGAGACCCTGGGTTCAATCCCCAGTACCCACCCCCCTCAAAAAAAAAAAAGAAAAACAATACAGATGCACAAAGATGAAAATTTTTAAAAAATCATTACAAATCCATTACAAATCATTACAAATCTTGATTTTTTTATCAAGAAAATATTGTGAGCTCGGGCTGTGGCTCAGTGGTAAAGTGCTTGCCTAGCATATGTGAGGTACTGGATTCTATCCTCAGGACCACATAAAAATACATAAAATAAAGGTATCACCTACAACTAAAAAAACAATTAAAGAAAATATTGAGTAAATACTGAGTGAGAGTTACAGATTTCTTTATACAGTCCTATGCAGACAGCATGACAGAGACAATGAAGAAACTTAGGAAAAATAGGACCATGCTGTACATGCCATTTTTTAATAGTATTGAATTCAACTATACTTCAAAATAACAAAAGAAAATGAAGCTAAGGAAATTTTTGAACTTCAGATAATTCTTCACAAGATATATTGTCTCCTATAAAGGAAAAAATGTAAAACATAAAGCAGCTATAGTCATTACACTTTTTATTTATTCTATTTTTTTTGGAGGGGGAGGGGTTACAGGGATTAAACCCAGGGATGCTTTACCATTGAGCCACATTCCCAGCCCTTTTTTGTATTTGATTTAGAGACAGGGTCTTGCTGAGTTGCTTAGTGCCTCACTAAGTTGCTGAGGCTGGCTTTGAACTTGAGATCCTCCTGCCTCAGTTTCCCAAGCCGCTGGGATTAACAGGCATGCATCACTGTGCCTGGATGGTTTTGATCCTTATGCTTAAACTAAAAAAAAAAAAGAATTTAGGAGTAGAAAACCTTAGGAAAAAAATTGATAATGAACATTCAATTCACTTAAATGCTGAACTATTATTAAATGTTAAACAGCCATAGGAATTATGGTTGTAGAACTCAGTATAAATGTTATCAGGGTAGATAAAAATAATATAATAAAACATGGGAATGTAGAAAGGGTAGTTAGAGAAAGACAGAATAATGTTCTTAACCAATAGAAATTATCTAAAAGTGAGAGGTTAAAAAATAAAAAGTGTGCCAGGCACTGTGGCGAATGCCTGTTAATCCCAGCGGCTCTAGAGGATGAGGCAGGAAGATCGTGAGTTCAAAGCCAGTCGTAGCAACTTAGTGAGGCACTAAGCAATTCAGTGAGACCCTGAAAAAAAGAGAGAGATCAAAACCAGGGCCTTAATATGTGCTAGGCAAGCAGTCTACCACTGAGCTACATCCCCGATCTCATTACTAAATTCTTAATCTTGGTTTACTATTTTTTTTTCATTTTTTAGCAGTACTAGAATTGAACCCAAGGCCTTATGCATGCTAGTCAAGTGCTTTACCACTGAGCTACAACCCCAGCCCATTTTATTTGAGACAGAGTCTAAGTTACCTTGCCTGGCCTCAAATTTTTGACTCTCCTGCCTTAGCCTCCCAAGTGGTAGGGTTGATTTGGCCAGAATTTGCTGCCAAACATTTTTCCAGAGAAACTCATGAGTCTTGAATTTTTTCACATATTTCTTTAGGTTTCTGTTTTTTATTTTATTTATTTTTTTCTCTACCTGCTGCCATTACACAAAAACAGTTTCTTTAGCTGGGTAAGTATTCCAGGGCCATATGTCTTTCTCTCAGAACTTTATAATATTGCTATAGAAAACTGAGACAAGTCAGGCTCTTCATACTTAATTTGTTTGTTTGTTTGTTTTGTTTTGTTTTAGTTACACATGGGCACAATATCTTTTTTTTTTTTTTAATTTTGCTGAGGATCAAACCCAGTGCATCACATGTGTGAGACAAGCACGCTACAACTGAGCCACAACCCCAGCCCCTTGAATTTTTTTTTTTTTACCTGAAGATTTCTTTATCTATTAAGTTAAAAATTTCTCTAGAACATGGGATCATCTTCAGCTGCCATTCAATTCTATCTTCATTTCAGGAAAAGTTCTTTTTCAATACACTCAGTTTCATTTGTTGGGTCATCTTTGACTGTCTTTCTATTGGCTTCTCTAAGCCTTTCTCATCGTGGTTGAGTATCACAAATCCTTCCTATAATGTCTCCAATTTGATTTTCTGTAATAGCTATTCTGTTCCTTGCTCTCACCTAATATTAGTTTCATTAATCTTCAATCTGTTTCCTTTGTTTTACAATCTTTTTCATCTCATTCTGTTATTTTATCATCTCGTCTTTCAGCTTTATTTTTGCTGAATTAATGTTCTTACTAATTTGTTCCAAAGAAGTGTTGGTCAAAAGAACTTTCTAAGGTGACCAAAATGATGTGGCTATGTGCCTGAGAACTGAACTTACAATTTTAATTAGTTTCTCAAAATAAGAAAAATTAAAAGGGCTGGGGATGTAGCTCAGTGGTAAAACACCTCTGGGTTCAATTTCCAGTACCAAAATTATAAAAAAAAAACAAATTTATTTCTCAAGTCTGATGGTTTGGCAAGCCAAAATCCACGTTCTGGATCATTTAGTTATCTATCAAAGGCCTACTTTCTGGTTTCTGGATGGTCACTTTTAGCTCTGTCCCTGTGGAAGATGAAAGGGGTCTCTACTGGGTTTCTTTTATAAGGGCAATAATCCCATGCATGACCTACTCACCTCCCAAGGCCCCACACCACCTAATATCATCACTTTGGGGATTAGGAAGTCATCATATGAATTTGGAGGGGGATACAACATTTAGATCACAGTAGATCATATTTTAAACATAATTTAAAAACTATGAATTTTATGTGACTTTTTCACATATACATTTAAAGTCTCCTGGCAGTTAATTTATGCCCAGATGGCTAATGATATTCAAGCTAAAAATGTTAAAGTTCTATAAAAACAAATTTAATTCCTCTAGATTTCTAAAATTTAGAATCATAAAGCAATTCTATCTCAAGTTATAGGTATAAATGAATGTCTCTCAGCTAGTCTTCTTAAGACTATTTGCTTCAGTCAAACTTGAATACCTTTAAAAAAAAAAAAAAAAAAAGAAAGTAATAAGAACTTACCAAATCCCAAAGTCCAATTTGCCCACTTTTGGCCCCAGCTGCTACCAAAGTTCTAGTTTCTGATGGGTGGAGAGCCACAGAGAATATTGAGCCATTGGTAACTTTATGAACAGCATCTTCACTAATAACCATTCCATTTAAATTGGCTTTGTAGCTACAAAATTAAAATGTTACATTTTTAAAGTCAAACCAATCTCAATAGTCAAAATAAGTAAAAGATGATTCAAAAAAGAAAGTCATAGTAAATAAATGTTGAAAAATATTCAACCTCCTGATTAACTGAGGAAATAAAATAGTGAGGTACCATTTTTGAATTATAAAATTACCTTTAATAATTTTAATGATGATATCAAAAACCAGGAGGCCACAGATAAACATACATACTCAGGCTAGGGCTATAGGCTCAGTGATAGAGCATTGCCCCACACATGAGGGTCAGGATTTGATCCCAGCACTGAAAAATTTTAAAAATAGAAACACACACACTCACATGTATTGCTAGTTTTAGAGTGAGTTCAGTGCTCGCTTCGGCAGCACATATACTAAAATTGGAACGATACAGAGAAGATTGGCATGGCCCCTGCGCGAGGATGACACGCAAATTCGTGAAGCGTTCCATATTTTTAAATACCAAATGTTTTCTTTGATATAATGAGAGCAACTAAGAACAGAGCAGGGAGGAAGAGCAGGAAGAAAAGATCAACATTAAACAGATACATTAGGTGGGAGGGAAAGGGAGAGAAAAGGGAAATTCCATGGTAATGGAGGGAGACCCTCATTGTTATACAAAATTACACATAAGAGGTTGTGAGGGGAACGGGAAAATAAACAAGGAGAGAAATGAATTACAGTAGATGGGGTAGAGAGAGAAGATGGGAGGGAGGAGAGGGAGGATAGTAGAGGATAGGAAAGGTAGCAGAATACAATAGTCACTAATATGGCATTATGTAAAAACATAGATGTGTAACCGATGTGATTCTGCAATCTGTATATGGGGTAAAATTGGGAGTTCATAACCAACTTGAATCTAATGTATGAAATATGATATGTCAAGAGCTTTGTAATGTTTTGAACAACCAATAAAAAAAGAGTGAGTTCATATAAGATTTTCAGGAGGGGGAAAAAAAGATTTTTGGAAAATGATTTAATATTGTGTACTAAAAGCTATTAAAAAATTCCACAATATCTGACTCATTAGACCCACTTCCAGAAATCTATTCTGAGAAAGTAATCCACTGTCATAGAAACACTTCAACAAATAGTATACAATTACACAAAACTAAATGGAAAATAACCCCAAATACTAAATAGGCAGAAGGAGGTTAAGTAAAAATTTCACCTACTCAATGAATTATTATGCAATTATTTAATAATTTTAAAGACTCTAGTAACATATAACCACAAATGAAGAAGCCTAATGCAAAATTGTATATACTTTAGAATACATAAAAATGTGAATTCACTCATTTTCTTCAACACTGAATAAATATATACTATGTGCCAGGCACTGTTCTAGTTATTGAGACAAAATCCCTGCCTTCGTAAAGCTTACATTCTACTGGTATTACATATGATAACACCTGAAAGGAAATATACAAAAACAAAAACAACAGTTATTGTAGGGTAGAAATACAGGGGATATTTTTTCACCTCATGTTCAAAATTCCTATAATATTATATAGCTTTTGTAGCTCAAATGTCTCAAAAAAATGTAAAACAAAGGCAAGGAATTTTAATTTACCTTTTAATGCTGAACAGCCCCTTTTCAGTGTTCTTACGACTTGTCTGAAACATGAATAGAAACCAAAGTGCTGTTAATATACATGGAAATTTCCTTAACAGATGATACTAAAAGCTATAAGCTCTGCCAAGTTATACCTTGTTCATTTCACCCCATGTGTGCAGAAATTCTTTAAATAGTTCATTGTTGTCATCTTGATTTTCAGGAATCATTTCTAAAGGCCCAGGAGGTAACAAAGGCTGTAATCAAAAATAAAAAGTTTATTGTTTGTCTCCTTGCCCTAGAATTACACATTCAAAAAGGCAAAGGGTATTTGTCTGTTTTTTCACTACTTTACTGTCAACACCAACAACAGTGATAGCACATCACAGTTATTCAAAAATAATTATTCAATAAATGAATGCCAACAAAAAACAACAGATGATGGCAAGGATGTAGAGAAAGGAACTCTCATTCCCTGTTGGTATGAATGCAAATTAATGCCACCATTATGAAAAACCATATGGTGGTTCCTCAGGAAACTAGAAATAGAATTAACATATGATCCAACAATCCCACTACTGGATATATATTCAAAAAAATAAAATCAGTATGTTAAGGAGATATATTATTTGTAACATTATTCACAATTGTCAAGATATAAAATCAAACTAAATGTCCATTAAAAATGAATAAAGAAAATGTTATTTATACACCATGGAAAACTATTCAGAAAAATTTTTAGTTGCAACATGTATGAAACTGGAGGACATTATGTTAAGTAAAATAAATCAGAAAGACAAATACTGCACATTTTCACTATACATGGAATCTAAAGTTGATTCTAAAGAAGTAAAAACCAGAATAGTATTATCGGAGCCTGGGAACAGTGTGGAGGAAGAAGGGATGGAAAGAGGGTTAATGGGTACAGGGATGCAGATGGATCAGAGGAATAATTCCTAATAGAACAGGAGGACAACTATGCTTAACAACAATTAATTTACTATTTGAAAATAATAGAGATGTTTAATGTTCCCCAAACAAATATATGTCTGAGATGACAGATACATCACTTTATTCTGATCATTACACATTATATACATGTATTGCAATGCCACACTGTAACCCATAGATATGTACAATAACTATGTGTCCATTAAAATACATATAAATAGGGGCTGGGGCTCAGTGGTAGCATGCTTGTCTGGCATGTGTGAGGCACCAGAGTTCAATTCTCAGTACCACATATAAATAAATAAAATAAAGGTCTATCAACAACTTAAAAAATTTTTTTAAATATATATATAAATAAAAATAAATGAATGAATGCCAGGTCTCCTATCTTATTTAACCCTCTTGACAATTCATTCAATGATACCACTTTTTAAAGACACCATAATTCAGAGAAGTTATTTGACCAAGTTACATTGCCAATAACTGGAAGACCTAGGAAGAACTCCTATTAGTTCAGTTCAGTACTCAGTGCTATTATTCTATGCCAATGTCTTAGAAAATACAGGTTGAAATCAAATAATAGGCTATGAAATAATTTTAATTTGTCAAAAACAGCAACTACAGTGAATGAGAATAGAATAAAAAATACCAAAATTCATGCAAATAGTAAAGTTGTCATTTCACAAAACTATTGTTTCAGAAGAATGTGTGTTTGTGTTTGTGTGTGTGTGTGCGTGTGTTTGCAGTGGTAAAGATTGAACCCAGGGTCTTATACATGCTAAGCAAGCTAACTACCACTGAGCCACATCCCCAGTCCATAAATGTTTCTTATCATGGGTTGGTGCTTCAATAAAATTTGGAAGCTATTCTACTATGCTGCTTTCCATATCACCTTGATTTGCAATTAGCTCCCAAGGCACCAACCTAATTAGTACTATCTTCCAATTTATAATTAAGAACTTAGATATAAAACATTAAAAACAGTAGGTGCTCATGAATTAAAAGTATAATTACAAATCTTATTTACAGAACAAATTTAATAAATTAAAATGTTTCCACTCACTGGTAATATAAAATTAAGCTATAGCAAGGGAACTTCACTTATATCACATATTACTTATTAATAACATTAATAATTACTTTTTATTATTTATTAAGCTCTTAATACAATGTAAGGAAATTTATAGATACTATTTCATTTAATCCTCATGATAGCCCTTGAAAACTTCTATTACTGCCATTTTTAAAATGGAGAAACTGAGGCTCAGAAAGGTTAAATAATTTATAATAATTTACTTACAACTCCATGATAGGTAAGTCCTGCAGAAATACAGAACAATCCAGTCTTTATAACTTTGAAATCTTACTCATTAAATGATATAACATTCAAGTACTATTAATGAAATGCAAATAACTCATCGTTTTCAGGGCTGGGGTTGTGGCTCAGAGGTAGAGGGCTCACCTACCATGTGTGAGGCACTGGGTTCAATCCTCCACACCACATAAAAATAAAGATATTGTGTCCACCTACAACTAAAAAATAAATATTTTTAAAAAATAAAAAATAAAGGGGCTGGGGATGTGGCTCAAGCAGTAACGTGCTCGCCTGGCATGCGTGCGGCCCGGGTTCGATCCTCAGCACCACCTACAAAGATGTTGTGTCCGACGAAAACTAAATAAATATTAAAAAAAAAAAAATTCTCTCTCTCTCTAAAAAATAAAAAATTAAAATAACTCATCATTTTCAAAACATTCTGTTTCAAACACTTTAAACTTTCATATTATATATTATATTTGCACTCTTTCTTACATTTTCATCTTCTTCTAATGTCGGCTGTGTTGGAGTTGCTGGTAATGAAACTCCTGAAGGATCCACTTTTAGCAATCGCATTGACCTTCTACATCCAATCTCATTTTCTCTCTTCTTAGGCTTCTTTCTAAAGGAGTGGGAAAAAATTCTTGTTATACTCATAAAACAATAAAATGCATTTACTGATAAAGAGAGAACTTCTAGGAATGGGTCCCACAGATGAGTGTGTGTATAAATATATAAAGATATATAGATATATACATCTCCACGGTGATTTTAATAAAAAATCAGATTTTAATAAAAAAGCTACTCCCCAGCCTTTTTTACTTTTTTATTTTGAGACTGAACTAACCTAAATTTCAGCATGAAGAAGTGAAGGACATAAAATATCTTATGGTGTATATATCTAGAATGATATGCAACTATAGAAAAGAATGAAATATTGGCTGGGGCTACAGCTTAAAGATAGAGCACTTGCCTAGTAGCATGCTGGTGGCCCTGGGTTCAATCCTCAGTACTAGAGAAAGAATGAAACAGATCCTTGGGTGCTAATAAAATGAACTCTTAAGTTGTAAGACGTAAAAATGAGGCCCAGTACATGTTTACAAAAAGGTTACACATACATTTGTACATTCTGTGGCTACCCATAAAGGAATACATATGAAACTATTAACTGGTATCTTCTAGAAAGAAGGCCTGGAAAACTAAGGATGGGAGGAAGAGTTAAATGTTTCATTGCATTTTCCTTCAAACAGTTTATTTTTTAACTCATACACATCCCCTACTTCTTTTGGAGGTATTGAACCTAAGGGCACTGTTTTTTTGTTGTTTTGTTTTATTTTTTATTTACTTATTTATTTTTTAGTTGTAGATGGACACAATACTTCTATTTAATTTGTTTATTTTTATGTGGTGCCAGGGATCAAACCCAGTGCTTCACGCATGCTAGGCAAGCACTCTACCACTGAGCCACAACTCCGGCTCTGTTATTTATTTATTCATTTTTAACTAGGTCACAAAAGTGTTTATTTGTTCTCTTTAGATATACATGACAGTAGGGTATATTTTGACATAATATATACATAGAATACATCTTACTATAATTAGGATTCCATTCTTGTTGTATATAATATGGAGATTCACTGTGATGTATTCATATATGAACATAGGAAAATTATGTTTGAAAGGGCTGAACTATCAATGGGACATCTAGGAAGATATCAAATATTGGGAAATTAAGTCTGTGTAAAGTCTGAAGATAGTGTCTTTGGTAACTGTTTTTGTGTTCTTGTCCCAAGGGACACTGTTAATACTAAACTACTGCCCGGCCTTTTTTACTTTTTTTTTTTTTCAATATTTATTTTTTAGTTTTCGGAAGACATAACATCTTTGTTTGTATGTGGTGCTAAGGATCAAAACCGGGCCGAACACATGCCAGGCGAGCGCTCTACCGCTTGAGCCATATCCCCAGCCCCCTTTTTTACTTTTTTATTTTGAGACTAGATTTAAATTGCCCAGACTGGCCTTGAACTTGCAATCCTCCTGCCTCAGCCTCCTGCATCACTAGGATTACAGATATGAGTGACCAAGCCCACTTTTCCCCTACTTTTTTATGTACCAATTTTTCATTTAAATTTTTTTTTCTTTTTCCAGGGCTGAGGATTAACTTTAGAGTTTCACACATGCACTCTACCCACTGAACTATATTCTGGGGACTCCTTTTTTTTTTTTTTAAAGCAATTCTTTAAAAATATTTGTGGGGCTGGGATTATGGCTCAGCGGTAGAGCACTTACTCGCACATTTGAGGCACTGGGTTTAATCCTCAGCACCACATAAAAATAAATAAATAAGCAAATAAGGGTATTTTTAAAAAGAGAGATAATACATTAAAAATATATTTGGGAAAGAGAAGATTTCCTGTTTCCAATAATTCATATTTCATCTCTACTAATGCCAGCTATACAAGGTTGGGGGCATAGCACAATGGCAGAACACTTGTCTAGCATACTCAAGTCTATAAGATTTGACCCAACCACTGCAAAAAGAAAAAAAATTCACATGCAAAATCATTAGCTATAGTCTGGCACAGTGGCACCTGCAATTCTAGCAACTTGTGAGGCTAAGAGAGGAGCGTCACAAGTTTGAAGCCGGTCTCAGCAAAATTAGTGACAGAAAAACCGCTCACATTTGAGGAAAAATTATTTGCGTTTGAGGAACAGATAGGGAGAAAGGACGGATGGACATTTCAGTCCCTGGAGATGAGTGAGACGGAAGAAAAACCGCTCACATCTGAGGAAAAACTATTT